ATATTCTTGATCAGCATCACCAGGATAGTCGATCTGGCCATGTCCGTCTGTCCGTTTCTACGCAAACTGGTCCCTAAGTTCAAAAACTATCTGCTTACAATTTTACAAAAAACAATTTAAAAAAATTATAACTTTGTTTTTTTTTTATTTGTTGTTGTTGTTCTTTCGTTTGTTAATATTTAAATATTATGGAATTACGCTTTTAATTAAATTAAAATCGGACAACAATATCATATAGCTGCCATAGAACGATAGCCAAATTCATCGCAAAATTGACATATATATCTTCATTGTTATACCCTTGCAGAGGGTATTATAATTTTGGTCAAAAGTGTGCAACGCAGTGAAGGAGACATCTCCGACCCTATAAAGTATATATATTCTTGATCAGGATCACCTCCTGAGTTGATATAGCCATGTCCGTCTGTCCGTCTGTCCGTCTGTCTGTTTCTACGCAAACTAGTCTCTCAGTTTTAAAGCTATCGGATTGAAACTTTGCACACACCCTTCTTTCCTTTGCACGCAGTATATAAGTCGGAACGGCCGGGATCGGCTGACTATATCCTATAGCTGCCATATAACTGATTGATCGGAAATGCCATCATTTTGGTGTTTGTAAAGTTAGCAAGTTGGGATTTTCTATGGGTTATGTATTTAGCCAATCAATCCGACCTACCAAATTTCATAAGGATCGGCCGACTATATCCTATAGCTGCCATATAACTGATTGATCGGAAATGCCATAACTTTCGTGTTTGTAAAGTTAGGAAGTTGGGATTTTCTATGGGTTTTATATTTGGCCAATCAATCCGACCTACCAAATTTCATAAGGATCGGCCGACTATATCCTATAGCTGCCATATAACTGATTGATCGGAAATGCCATAACTTTGGTGTTTGTAAAGTTAGGAAGTTGGGATTTTCTATGGATTTTATTTTTGGCCAATCAATCCGACCTATCAAATTTCATAAGGATCGGCCGACTATATCCTATAGCTGCCATATAACTGAACGATTGGAAATGCCATAACTTTGTTGTTGTTAATATTAGGAAGTTCGGATTTTTTATGAGTATTAAGAATGCATCATATGAATAATTTTGGAGAATATAATTTACAGAGTATTCTGCAAGGGTATATCAACTTCGGCTCCGCCCGAAGTTAGCTTTCCTTTCTTGTTTTTATTAATATAGGCATAGAAATCGAAATGTAGTAGATTTGTGACAACTGCGAGGGTATATAAACTTCGGCTTGCCGAAGTTTGCTTCCTTTCTTGTTTTGCATGATATTGTTATTAATAGAACTATGTATTTAAAATTAACTTTATTTAAATTTCAGCTTCCGAATCGATGTGTATTACCGTTTGCGTTGGGGAGCACGCTTAAAAACTTGGTCATTTTTCCTTCTCTTATTCGCTTCTGTCATTTTTTGAGATGGTTCTTAACAACGCAATGGGATCGATATTCCTTACAACGATATCTCGATGTTTATATCGAGTGCTTATACATATATAACATAAAGAAATCAAAATTAAATTTAAATTATTCTATTTCACTACTGGAGCTAGAGTTCCTCAAGAAATCGTGCTCGGGCCAACATTATATGTCCTCTACACAGCAGACATCCCAACAAGCACACGACTAACAACATGTACGTTTGCTAATGATACAGCCATTCTCAGCCGCTCAAAATGCCCGATGCAAGCAACTGCGCAGTTCGCTCTTCATCTGGTCGATGTTGAAAAGTGGCTATCAGATTGGCGAATTAAAGTGAACGAACAAAAATGCAAGCACGTTACGTTCACCCTGAACAGGTAAAACTGCCCGCCGCTCATGTTAAACCACGTGAAGTGACATATCTAGGAGTACACTTCGACATCAAAAAATAATAAAGATCTAATATTAAATACTAACTAATATTACAGTTTATTTTCAGTAAATTCAATCAACAATTTTCTAGCATCTCAAGTATATGTTGATTGTCCTCAAAGATTATTGTTTTCTACATCCAAGGTTGCTGCTTTTAATGTGCGTCATACTTTGGTTTAATCTTTGACAGTAATTCTTTGGTGTTTTTGCTTATATTAAGCAATTGGAAGCTGTTGACAAGATTATATGCTTTGACTGAGTTTTGCTTCCTAAGGACTGATCGGATATCAAATTAAAAATAGTTTTTAGGTTATTTTGATATTTTAATTAGATAATTTATGACAAATCAGAGTTATTAGTTTTTTTCAACGACATCTGTTTAATAAAATAAAAAGGACTCCCTTATTAGTGAGTTTTTTTTATGATTTTTATATTAATTTTTTCACTTTGCTTACATAAATAAATATATATTTTACTTAATAATATCAGTCCAGAGTTTGGTTCATATTTTTCGGACTTGAATAAAGATTATTCAAACATATTTTCGATCGATTCGTCAATAACTTTTCGAATTAGGATTTATCAGGGTGGCCACATCATCGGAACTAATTGAAATGTCGTTTTGAAACTTAAGCAACATGTTCTTGTATAGTTGTACTAACAACTTATGCAATAAAAAAACAGTTTTCTAAACTGGGTTCTCTTCTTAAATTTAAACATACATATGTATGCTTACTAAAAAGTTTTTAGAATAACTTTTGAACGGAGTATCGGATTCTAACCACAGCTCAAAAGTGATAAGCTTCCTAAGTGATAAGCCCACTGAAATTTAAAAGCCACATATCCACATATGATAAATGTAGAGTCCTTCAGCTACGACCGCATATTCCTTTGCACTGATACTGACGTGAGTCTAGGCGAACAAAACACCTTTTGGACGTGAGAACACATTCCACTTTTCGTACTTAATCACATCCTCAACAATTTGCTGAAGGTCAAGATCTTTAAAACCAAATCTTTTTAATTCCATGGCAACAGCGTGATTCAGTGGCATGATTGATGGTATATCAAAATCTTTATCTGCTTATACAACCATTTTGTATTTGATACTAAAAAAGACTTTACATAAATAAGTTTGCTATCGGGAGAAATCGGACCAATACCACAGAGACTTGCCGATATTTACTAATTTTGTCCATTTCAGATACAGTTTAGGTTTTAAAAAATGTGTCCCCTTCCAAAATTCTATACAAATTTATAATTAATAATTTTAAAAGTTTGTATTAAAAAAACAATAAAACTAAAAAAATGTTTCAATAGATTTCTGATTTGCATAGGTTCACAACAATTGATAAGAGCAGCAAATTCATATAACAAGATTCCTTGATAATCAGCCATAATAGAAATTAATGGACTTTTAAATGTTCTGATTGCCATTTGTTCCCGAGGGTTTTCTATCTCTTAATACTTATAACAACAATTAAAAAATATTTTAAAGGCCAGGCAAGGCCAAGAAAATAATATATAAAATATACGTAAGTACATTTGGAAATCAGTGTGGCGGCGCCATGAAATCTTTTGGTTATTCTTATCCCCTTGGAATAATACATATGTATGTACATATGTATATGGGGATTCAATTAACAAGTCGTCGGGAAATCAAATCCATAAACGGTCGTCTCCTGCTTTCTTCCTTTATATTCCTTTGCAGAGGGTATTATAATTTTGGTCAAAAGTATATAAAGTGTAAAGTATATATATTCTTGATCAGGATCGCGTCCTGAGTTGATATAAGCATGTCCGTCTGTCAGCTCAAAGAAGTTGGGTCGACTAAAATCGAATTTTCGAAAATTGAATAGCTTAATCGTTTGCCATTTTTAAGGGGTGGGCAAACGTGTTCTGGTGAAGTTCTCGTGTTTAAGCCGTCGGCAAAAGTTTTTCTCAAAATTAACTATTTTTTAGAGGTGGGCAAACGATTTTTTTTTTTTAATTCTTAAATTTCAGGAGATGGGCAAACATGGGCATCTTTTATTTTTTCGTAAAAACCATTTTTAAGGGGTGGGCAAACAATTTTTTCTGCAGGTAAATATGATCAAAACTTAAAATGTCGAATATTTTCAAAAGTATAAATATTTTCAAAATTCTAAAAGATGGGCAAACGTAGGCAAACGATTCTCTTGCGATTAAAAAAAAAAAATTTGAAAAAGTCAACTTTTATGTTTTCGAAAATTTTCGAAGATTCCATATTTTCAAAACTAAAGGTGGGCAAAAAAAATTAAAAAGTGGGCAAACATGGGCAAAAAATGGACAAACGATTAAGCTATTCAATTTTCGAAAATTCAATTTTAGTCGACCCAGCTTCTTTGAGCTCGGTCTCTCTGTTTCTACGCGATCTAGTCTCTCAGTTTTAAAGATATCGAATTGAAACTTTGCTCACACCCTTCTTTCCTTTTCACGCAGTCTATAAGTTGGAATGGCCGGGATCGACCGACTATATTCTATAGCCGCCATATAACTGATTGATCGGAAAATGCCATTTTGGTGTTTGTAAAGTTAGGAAATTGGATTTTTTTGGGTTTTATATTCGGCCAATCAATCCGACCTAGGGTCGGAACTTGGATATAGAATGATTACTTTATTCTTGTCAAAAACGCTCATTCCCATAATTCGAATACATCGAACTAACAAAGATTATAAATGGCTAAGGCCAAAAGAATGTGGTACACTTTTTGTACAGTCCCTGATGCTTTGTTTAAACATGTCGAAGCCCTAAAATCTTCGCCATTCTCTTTTCTTATCTTATATACCACATGGCCTCAGAAAAGAGCCTTGAGAAAATACTTAGTTTTATCTAGGGTTTATTTTCTACCTGCTTGATATCCTTTTTCCTATAATAAAAAAGGCTCAGGCCACACAAATTCTAATGAGTGCTTGTTGAATCATTTAAAAAATATGTAATTAAGTATTGAAAGTATACAATTGCTGTAAATTACTGATTAACATTTAATATATTTTTGTACAGTTAATATTAAATTGCCTCCAACTCATTTGCAAAATGAGTATGCAATAGTAAGATAGATTAGACGACTCTAACGTGATAACGCAAAAAATAAATAGACTACTTATTTTGTCTTTATCTCCTTTATTATATTACACAAAAACAATTCCAGGCGCTAGTTTGAATTTAAAAGATCGACATAATCAGTGCTTAGAAATTAAGAGCGTAGCAGAGAATGGTATAAATAGAAATCGTTCGTTTCAGTTTGTTTTCAGTCTACGGCGAGACGTAGAAGTGCGCAGTTGTGCACTCGTGTTCAAAATTTAGATTTTTTGTGTGGACCCTATTGTAACTGTAAAAGAGCATGGCATCCGGCCCCCTGGTGAGTTTTACTGTAAAACCGATTGTACAGTTCAGTTCTCAATTACTTTTTTACCTAAAACCCAAGAACACAATGCCCGTGGAAAGTGACAGCGATGTGGAGATCATTGAGACGGAGCCCATAAATCATCAACATTATTACCACCGGCAGCCGGAGCACTTTGTGTTTCCCGCAAGGATGTATCCGAAAATTCCGAACGGCCTACCTCTTTCACCGCCTCTTTCGCCCACCAATGAACCCTGGCCATTAACGAACCCCGATTCCAAGGACATGCCTCTGCTCAAGGAGCTACTGGCCCGCAACGAACAGGTGAATGTTCCGCCAGGATTCGTGCTCTGCATACCGTGCTACCTATGCCAGCAGCCCTTCAACGACATCGAGACCTTCAAGGAGCACCTCACTCAGCATGCGGCGGACATCCACGCCTGGAACACATCGCGTGAGCAGGTGCAGAAGCCACAGCCAATGTTCCACCACCATCATCATCATCATCATCCTATCGATCAGCCCATGAATCATTATCAGCAGTATCATCTGCCCATGGAGTACGTACATCAGCCACAATTGGAGCTATACTCACAGCCCATCCAACCGCCGATGCCGTTTTCAATGCCACCAGCTCATCATCACGCGATTCCACAGCCAATGCACTATCCCATCCAACACTCACTTAATCCACCGCACAACGAAATACCCGTACAGCCACCACTAAAATTCTCAAGACACCGGCCCGTGCATCTCCCCATGACACCGCAATCCTCACCAGAGTTTCCTGGTCAGCCTGGGCTCGCAACCCATCTTAACAAACCTCAATTACCGATTCAAATGACGCAGCAGAGGATTTCCCTGCCAGAGAGAAGGTCCGATCCGGTGAATGAGCCAGCAAATGAGCTGGTGAAACCGCAACTTCAATCATCGTTGCCAAAAAAAAGCCCATCTCCGGAGCAGATGAAACCAAAATTATGCAAGTTGCCAACTTCAATGCGCGGACAGTTCGAGTGCGACTGGTGCGGTAAGCGATTGAGCTCCCGCCAGTCGTTGAGATATCACGAGAGTCACTTCCACTCGGGGGAGGACCTGCCAGAGGGTCGGTTTGGCAAAGAGGTGCAGAAGCAGCACAGGTGCCCCACCTGCAAGAAGCGCTACAAGCGGGGAACCTTCCTGCAAATGCACATGAAGGTCAAACATGGGATTATTTATGCACCCCATGCCAACCTAGATGTGCATGCGTCCGCAGAGTCTTCGGTCTCCGCAGAATCGTTGCCGGACGAAGAAGATTCGAGAAGACCCGATTTGGCGAGAGCCAAGTACGAACCAGACCGCGAACGGACGGAGAAGTATGTGAACGCGCCACGTCAGCAAACCGAGCAGCTGGAATCGGGTTTCGCGACCAAGCCGAAGCGAACGTATCCGATGCGATCGCCGTTCTTCAATCCGTATGTATACACAACTCTTATCTCCATTTTACATTCTTACTGAATTCTGTTGTTTTTTTAGCGATCTTTTGCTGGACTGCGATGCATACTTCTAGGAAGCCCGGGATCCAGTTGGAGGAAAGCCTATATATGGAATATTTAATATTTTAGCTAAAAACAATCCCATATCGCCTGGAAGCGATGTCAGCCGAGCTGACTGTTAGTCTTGTTTATGTAAACTATAACTGTTTGTATCTTCGTTTCATGGAGCTTTTCAAGTATGTACAATGTACACTGTACGTATAGAATTTCTTCTAGCGGTGTTTTCTGTAGCCTCAGCATTTTGGATCTCGACTTCGAAATCCCAAAGTGATCGTCATATTGTTTATGTCACAATAAACAAAACCGATTCGCTGAACTCAGCGAAGAAACTTGATCGTTTTGTCGAGTTCAGCCGTTAGTCTTGTCTTAAAAATTATTAAACAACAATAAAAAACCTAATAAAGAAACGAATAACCAAACAGAAAGTGATTTTAAAGGGTCTTTGTTTGCTGTTGTCCTTTTAAAATACACAGCAAAATGATACTTCACAGCTGGGACTCTCGGGTTACACGAACCACTTAGAGCAATTGTAATATCCCGCTGAGATTTTTATGATAGTCCCTCTCAGACTTTTAACATGTGATACACACATGTTTTTTTAACGCCAAGAAATAGAGATTCCAGATTTATACTTAATCCTCCATTCACTATTTTGTAAGTTGTTTTGAAAGGCCGTATAGCTTTACTCCCGATTAAGTATTGACTAAACCTATGTATATGTAAAAACATATTTCTTAAAAATATAATAAACAAAACAAAAAAATTATTATTAATTTTAAAAATATAATATTAACTAAAAAATATAATATTATTAACAAGAGATCAGAAAACTTTAGTAAGTTTTGTGTTCAATTTCAGAGCTGGGTAATGGCACCCTTATCAACAAACTGAGCTGAGACTTCTGTTCAGAACTTGTGCTTTTAATCATTAATGTATGAACAACATGTCTTGGAAAACTTTCTAGAGACTTTCGAAAAGATTTTTTGGCACTTGCTAATCTCTTTGGTCGCCTGGTGCTTTTAATCATTAATTCTCCCTATATGTATGTCTGAACCAAAATAATTGGACAACCGAGATGACTTTTTCTTATGACACCCCCATAGTTGCTGTAAACATATAGGGATCATTTTGAGATACATACATACATACATACATACTTTGTATATTTGTTTTTGGCGCTAAAAAGCAAAGATATAAGCTTTTCACTGCTAATAAAAATTAAAAAAAATAGCTTTTCATTAGTTCAAATTTCTTTACCTAAAGGGTAGGGGTGGATACTGTGTTATTCTTGCCCAACCGTACACCAAACTATTAATTCATTTCTATTGGCTTTCGGGACGGTTCCAATTTAGAACAAGAAGAAATGCTGTAGTCGACTGGCCCCAAAATAAATATGCCTCCGACAGATGGCGCCAAAGATCCTATTCGCGCAGCATGCTATGTATGTATAAAGTCGCAAGCGTCATCTTTTGTGAAAAAAAAACTGCTTGCAGTGACGTCACCAATTATGCTTGACCTAAGATTTACTATATGTATATATGTATATGATATAAGTATATATCTGATCAAGAATAGTCTTCTAATTTATAGGGTATAAATATACATAAATAAATACATAAATATGTATCTATTACCTAACTATGACCGGAGAGTCGTCCAAATATAAACTGACCCATTCATGCTTTTTTGAACAAATAACGGAGTCGACAGCAAGGATCAAAAGTCGAACGTTCAATTTACTTACCTTTATTATATGAAACGTCCTTTTTAATTACACATATCGACTAAATCCAGATTTTTATTGTTTGACCAAACGATAATAGTTCTAAAAAGATTTTTAGTGTATACGGTAATTCGAATTTCAGAAAACTGGTACTTGATGAAAGATTTTCAGCTTTGAATTGGAAATCTGCAGGTAAAATTCTTTAAGAATCATTACGTTGGAATCTACTTTTCGACATGTGCTTATTATTAGTACAATTAATTTAGATTTTAAGGTAACACTAGTTATGTTCTGTAACCTTTTGTTGCAATTACGCACCTTCATTAAATTTGAGGATCAAACATGCGCCTTCTGGATAATCTACTGATAATAAAACATTAGGTAACTTCTAAAACTTTTTTAAAATTTAATTAAAAACTGAAAATTTATTATAAGAATTTGCATCGTATTAATGTGGATCCGTATTTATGGACATAGCTATAAAAAAGCTAAAACTGGATCTCTGTCCATCTGCGCTCTCTAGTTTCTCTCTGCCTCGCAACATATCTCTCTTTCTCAATTGGATTTAGGTAAAGAGCCGAATGTACTGTGAATCCATCGATCGGATCGGATCGGATCGTGAAAAGAACAGTTGAATCCAGAAAAGTACGCTAACAGGTCATGCGGGGCCCGCGTCCACGGCAAAATATTTGAAGAAAAGAAAGGCGGATAAATTACGGAAGAAGATAATAAAGTAGTGGAGTCGTAGTCAGAACATTAATTTTGTAATACTCAGCAGTTCTCAAGTGCGCAGAAATTTATGAATAAACGATTTTTTCAAGGTCGTTAAAACCCTTTTGTCCGCATGTGCTTATCTTTATATTTGATTCACAGACAAGACTGTTTACACAACTAGAAGTATTAATAAAGGGATACTCAAGTTGAATATTTTCATTGTGAAATTAAATCTTTTAGCAGGCAACAATAATGGAGACGGCGTTGTCTGGAATGAATCTGTCGTGCCTGCTATGTGAGCAGACTTTTGATGCCGTCGAAAAGCTGGACGAACACCTACCCATCCACTTTCCGCAGCCGGTGGTCAGGACCCAATTTTGCGATCTCTGCGGACGCGGCATGCGAACCTCACTGGATCTGCATCAGCACTATAAAAGATTCCATGAGGCCCATGTGGCCAGCTCAGACGGCCATTTTTACTGCCAAATGTGCGACAAGGTGTTCCTTCTACAAGATCACCTCAATGTCCATGTGAAGATCGAGCATGCGACCGATGGCTACCGTCCGGAGGCAAGGTCGTCGGAATGGGAGAAGCATTGTCCCAACACTGTTGATCTTACCAACGATGATATGTTGGATCCCATCCTGTGTCCACCACCCAAGAAGAAGTATCCGCCACGCTCCCCCTTCTTCAATCCGTGAGTTTAGATATCCAAGAAACTTAAGTCCACATATAAAATATTCCATTTTTCAGAAATCTTTGGCTAGATGGGGATCTCTCTTACATGTAGAGAAATACACTGTTAAATTTCTTTATTCTGTCCAATCTATGGATACCATTTACCCATCTTTGTCTAGCCATTCCAAATGATTCTCAAATAATTTAGAGCTCTTCGTCGAATGAATTCATAATTCGAAGACAGTACAGTACCAATGTGCCTGCAGTCCGTATGAAAATAAAACGCATTGCCTCATGATTTAATTAAAATTTATTTCGCTTTATATCTTGATGTACTCGTATGTGTATAAAGTATAGTACAGTATATGTATATGGTTTCGATTAGTTAGCCCACTCAAAGAACGACAACTGCGTCACCTGACGTACAGGGTTGGGGTCTCTTTATTGATACAGTATAATAATCCTTCTAAGCTTAAGACATTCACTTCCTAGCAGTCCAATCAATGCAATACACAATACCAAATCTGTTCCCGTACATTCGTTTGAAATATGTTCGCTAACTACAGTGCAACAAAGCGCCTTCCCTTCGACTTAAAAATAAATAGACTTGTTGATAGGTTCCTCTGGATTCCGGAAAATAAATACTACTGAATACAGCAAAAAAATGGGATAAGCGATAACAATTTATGGGGCTGAGAGTTTACAGAATGTTTGAAGCAGTTGAAACGAACAAAAATCGCGTTAAATTATAATTTACAACAGTGTCTTGTTAGTTTATTGCATAAAATATCTTTAATAAATAACAGTGCAATCCGCTAGCAGGGGAGCTCTACTGACTGGTTAGCTGGCCTTTTGACTAATGTTCGCCTAACCCGAACTGGCAACGATATCTAGTTTCGGTTGTGACAAGTTAACTCTCTCGCATTCACTATGTTCTTTAATTGATTTAATTTAATTTTATTTTTAGTGCAACAAATCAACAAATAAATAAATACATGCACTTTTAAATTACCTAAGCCGAGAGAGTGGGTAAAGGGTAGGTGTAGAGGGGAATCGAGTGGATGTGTGTCCCATACTGGTCTCCATTGTGTTTTGCCAGTTTCGCCTGCATTCGCTTCTTGCTTTTAGTCACCAGAGTCTGAGTTTTTAGGTTCTAAGAAACTCGTATTTATGTTGCATACAATAGTGGTAGGATTCCCTGCTTATGTACTATTTAACCTGAGCCCGAATGTGTTGCAAAAATTCATAGTATGACAAACTAGATTCACTGCGATCGTCGGTTAATCTCTCGATGAACTGGCCTTTGGCCGTGCTCGTGTCCCTTTGGATTTGGAAGAGATTATTAATATGGATGAACATTTTAATGTGTTGCCAGCTCACCTAATTATCTGAACCAGCGCCGAGTAAGGCTTATCGTAATTGAGTCGCAAAATAAAGCGCTTCAGCACATCGTTCTCGTTGCTCACAACATTTGGCAATCCGTATACATAGTCACCCAACTCTGCTGTGGAGCTGATGCCTAAAATGAGAAAAGGTTAATTGGGGATCTCACATTATCCACATTAAATTATCCCTACCCAGCACAGCTTCCAAGACATCGCGTGGCACATTCAGCCCCACGTAGAGCATTATTAGCGTGCCGCAATCCAACAGGAATATTGACCGAGAGTCCAAACTATAAGGTATTTAGAATGTTAAATGAACCGGTATCTAGGTAAACATTTCTTACTGTTCCGCGGATAGTTGCAGGCGCGGCAATTCTGGCAGCGGTTCGTCCTCCTCTTCTTCATCGTCCGGGGTTGCACTCACGTTCGAATTACGGGCGTGATAGATCAGCGCATCGATCTTGTACAGCTCCGGGTAGACGTACTTCATCAGCTGGTCCAGCGGCAGCGTCTTCATACAGTCCATAGCGAAGACCCGATCATCCAGTCGTGTACTAGTTCCCACGCGGAAGGCGGGCTAAGGGTTCGAGCGGTTAATGCTAGGTTTACTTAAACTTCATCCAGGAAAACTCACGTGCTTAAGCAACCCAAGGATGTAGAGGGGCAGCAAAGCCAGGCTGCGCGGGGCTATCAACTGACCAGATTGACCCGAGGGCAGATTTTGTGCGATCTTGAATGCGTTGTATACATCGATCGTGGCGTTGATGAAGGCGTCGCGGGCATCCGAGAGGTTGGAAGCCACCGAGCGGTCCACGGCCATCTTGGAGAGCAGCCCAATAATGGCTTCCGTGTCCGCCGAGTGCATAACCTCCGGAAGCGATGCGGTCACCGGCAGGCACACAGTGTGCACTCGGATTCGGCGCTCGCCCTCGCTGTTCGTATAGAGCAGCGCCGCTTGGAAGCAGATCGTCTTTACGTCCGTGAGGCTCTCGTCGTACGAAATCTGCATGCCGTAGCCCGCATCCGGATTCACGTTCGGCAGCGAGAGCAGGTCCGTGGAGCGCACGAAGAAATTGCCGTGGAATGTATGCACCTGCAGGCCGCGCGTGCAGCGAATGCGCATCACCGCCTCGAAACCGATCTTTCGGGTCAGGTAGCGTTTGAAGCACGTCCGGAACGAGTCCACCATGTGAGGCTTGGTCTTCTGGTAGAGCGGGAAGTGGTGAACACATCCGCCACTGTGTTTGCTGATGCCAGCTGTAGAGGTGTAAGGTACAGTAAGTAAGAAAACTATGACTGCAATGGATTAAGAAGGCACTCACAGATGGTTGCCATGTCGCTATACTGCTGGTTCATCAGGAAGAGGTCGCAGGCTATCTGATAGCCGGAGCACTCCAAAGCGAAGCGCTTGTAGAAGTCGGTGGCCGGATTCAGGTGAGCCACGTCCTTGGCCGAGCGGTTATTGGGATCCTCGCGCGGCTCCAGGGCGCCGGGTCCCTTGTTGGGAAGGCACGATTGAAAGACAGTGATGCGGCCGCCAGACGCTTGCTACAAACAACCGAATTCCGGAATTACTAACTCTTCTGATCTTGAACAAACTCCACTCACCATTAGCTTGAAAGCCACCTGCAGGGCAGCTCCCAGGGCGGAACCCGGATCGTGGGTGTGGGCAAACCGCTTGGGCAGCTGCTTCAGCAGGTCGCGCACCAGCTCCTTGCACTCCTTAAGGTTTACCAGAAGGCTGTCTGGACGAGGCAGGAAGGGGTCCTCGATGTCCAGCAGCGTCATCTCGTGCGGCTGGTTGAGGCCCTCGGCCATGCTGTAGAAGTGCACGAAGCTGTCGAAGCAGATGAATCCCACCTGAGTGCGCGCGTCGCCGGGCATCTCGTCCAAGTGCCGGTTGAGCACGGCGCAGGCGGCCTCCAGGTAGCCGCTCTGCTGCGCAATGATCGAGACGTCGAATAGAAACAGGTACATGGCCGGCTGCGGCGGTCGCAGCATGTACTCCGAGGGGGCGATAAACTCGATAGTGCTGGAGCGCACCTCAGGCCGTCGGGTCACGTCGCCGTACGTCTTTGTGGCCGGATCAAACTGGAAATCATCGGGCACTGCAGGAGGAAAAATTTATAAGTCAGTAACTTCTATTTAATGTCCCAAATTCGATTTACTTACATTCGTTGACGCGATAGCACAGATTGCACTTCCACATCTTACTGTCCACAAAGTAGACAAAGGGATTGATGTAGGTGCGGCAAAGCCGACAGCGCACAATGTTGATGCACTGGATCACGGGCAGGCTCTGTAGGATATTAATCAAGTTATATTTAAAGAATTCATATGGATTTCAAAATAATTCTTACATTCACATCGCGGAAAGGATGTATCACGATGCCCAGCGGCAGCCGTGACTTCTGCAGCAAAGAGTTGCTCTCGGGGATCTTGGTCAGAGTGCAGCGCATGATGCTCGGGCTGCAGTTGATGGACTCGTGGAACTGGTTGTGCAGCACCACCTTTGGCGGCGGCAGCGTGGCCGGCGACAAGATGTGCCGGTTCTGCATCAAGTCGATGGTGTCCTGTCCCCACAGCCGGCTGAAACCTTGCTGAGCCACGTTAAGTGGAGCAGGGGTGGCAAAAGGTCCACCCGGTGCTGCCGGTGGCTGCTGGGGTTGTTGTCCATAAGCCTGTGGAGGCGTCTGCGTCTGATACTGCAATGGAGCACCGGTGGGCTGGACTCCAAACATTCCCGGAGGCGGTGGCTGCCCTGCAGACGGAAGGGGAGGTTGTTGCTGTTGTGGCGCTGGATATGCCTGGGCGTAGGGAGATTGCTGCGCCAGGGGTTGCTGTTGCGGTGGAGGAAGTAGGGGCTGGGATCCAGGCACAGCCGCTTTGGCCAGGCTCGGTGGCCAAGCTGCTCCCGCTCCTGGTGGCGGAGCTGCCCTCTGGAGGTTGTTGTTCTGCTGGTTTTGCTGCTCGGAGTTAGCAGAAGGAGGCACTCCGTAGGGGATTCTTTGACCCGCAGGTGGTGGCGCTGGTCTGCCGGGCATCGCTGCGCTCCCGAACATCTTCGCTGGATGTGGAGCCAAGTTGGGAGGCTTCTGCCCACTAAATGGCGTCGCCATAGCATTTGGAACTACAGCAGGGGCCACTCCGCTAGCTGCCAACAGACTGCTGGTATCGTTGAACTGCGGTGGACCCGCCTGGGCCGTAGCCACACCTCTGTAATCCTTTTGCGCCAGGGGCGGGTAGTTTTGCTGAGGCGGTGGCATGCCACAGGCGCCTCCATTCGTTCGGTTCGGGTTTAAGTTCATATTTTCCAGATTGTTCGTCAAGTTGGCCAGGGACTGGCTCGCCGGTTGTGGTGGAGGTCGCAGTCCTGACGCCGGCGGTGGATTGTTCAGCGCTGCGGCGATTGGTCCTTGGGCATACTGAGGAGCAGCTCCCATTGGCCTGGGGGAGGCAGTGCGCGAGGAGTTGGCGCTGGACGCCCCATTGCTGCCGTTGGTGAGCGGTGGTCCGTTGACGGTTGGCGGACGCAGATGGGGCGGCAACGTACTGGGCGGCAGTTGCTGCAGAGGAGGAGCTGCTCCAGTCGCAGGCGGCAAGAATTGGCTCGCAATGCCGGTGTTGAATTGCGGCGGAGGTGGCATGTTTCCCGGTGCTCCTGCTCCGGGATAAGCTGCTGCAGGAGGTGGCTGCTGGAACTGCTGTGGCTGTTTCTGAGGCAGATACTGCTGGCCTGTTGGGGGAGCTGGCTGCTGATGCTGCTGGACGGCTCCTGGAAGGCCGTTCACCAGATTGTTGCCGTTCAAAGGCATGGGAGCGTGGGCGGGTGGCACGAAGTTCGGATTGTATGCCGACATACTGCTAATTCATAAGTTCGTGTTCTGAAAGATGGAGAATTAAGTTTCGGTTAGTTGCTATCTTATCACTCGCCAAGGTTGCGTTGCTGCCGAACATGCCGACAAGAAATTAGTCATTTATCTTATCGTTCAATGCCGAAACACGGGTTACTTGAGCCATTGAGCTGAACGTGCGAGTGAATAACGTTACAAAAATCAGTCCCAGCAGATGATGCTTGTCCAGGTGACAGCTAGTTGCACATAATGCACTGATATTCGATTGGAATGCGAAACTCTGCTAAAATGGGGCTTTATCTTCAAGTTATGAGCTTGACTGGCTGCGTAGGTAAATGTCTTGAGCCAATGTTTACAGAAGTGTGTCTACGTCAACAATAACTCGGAAATTAGCTGGTAATTGTATCACATTCGGCTGTTTAAACAGCTACGACAGCACAGTATTATGGGTTTTTGAGTTATAAGATGTGTGCGTTTGCCTGCCCCTAGTACTTGACCTCGCCATCAGCGATCGCTGGAAGGTGGGTCAAAGTGGGCGGTGACCCAGTTGCAGCGCGGGCGGAAGGAAGCGACTCGAAAGCAAAGCGAATTTTTGATGACGTGCCTATTGGCAAAGTCATCCTGCTCCGCCCAACGCCTCACCACCTCCTCTCCAACTCACCACCCAACCAACGTAATTGGGGGCAATCAAAGTGTATCGAATGGGGTGCACATATCATGGTTACCAGTCACTTATCACCTCTCCGAGCTTCAGTTTCCAGTGGCATGTAGTTTCTTGACCAGCACTTGCACTTTGTAGTTGCCTCTTCTTCTTGCGCCCTTGATTGGCGATTTTGCTGCGGGCTGCAAATTGACTTTTCCGCCTTTAATGCCGTGGAAAAGCCCGCGCTTGTTGTGGAATCCGCTGGCTGGATACTTTTTTATGGGATTCGGGTGAATCCTGGGCTGGTTTTTCCTCCGCGAAGGCGAATTAAACGATTTTCACGGCACTGCCCTGCGCTCTCTCCACTCCCCAATCTCAGCACTTTTATCTTTCTCTCGCGATTCCTGGCGTTCCTCGCGTGCTCCGGATGGATGCGAACACGTCCTGGACTGGCAGGCGGATTCCGTGAACTTGGCGTCGTTCGCTGCTAGGCACAATTAACTTTACAAATGCAAACTTTTTGCATTTTCCAGAGAAGAAGAACAAAAAATTTTGAGGCCACGTCAATAGTGTGACCGTGCGTTTTAAAATAGAGGTGGCACAATGCTAGGTCGCCTATCGACAAGCAGTTTTCAGACATCGATTACCATAGTACAATTATCGAATTCGATAGTAACCTATTTCGGTTACAATTCAAAACAAAGATTACATTTAAATTTAAATAAAAAAATATGAATATGTAAATATGTTAAATACTCATATTACAAATAGGGAATTAAAATTTATGAAAAAGAAATAGTGTTAAATCAAGCCAAATCGAATGTTAGTTAGTACATTTTTTTTAATACCATATTTGAAATATTTTAAATAAAAATTAAATAAGTAAAACCACAACGAGTGCTGTAAGAACAAATCGCTTTATTTGCAATAATCGTATCATATCCGTTACACTCAATCTGTTTGGGGTATTTGCTATATTTCTCGTTTGGTTAAAAAGGAAATCGAAAAAATATATACAAGTTCTGTGCACCCGGGCATGGATACGGATTCCAATTAAGGCCCTCGGGATTTCTATTCGTCTATTCTACGGGTTAACTATTCCGTTAAATATTACTTTAAATAAATATCGAAGCGTATTTACTTTATTCGTTTCATTTTGCGTTAACTTTGCGTGAGAGTATTCGGTAGCTTTGCTGTGGGTGTGGGTGGTGTTGTCTTTCTGGCTCGTAGGCTTTAAAGTAAAGTTAAAGTTTAGTTTTAAATGTCTCAAGGAGTGTGGGTTTCATTTGCGTTTTATTACAGTATAGTGTACAGGTGTTTGAGGAATTGTTAGCAGCGGACTGTTAGTAAAGCTTTATTCATTGTGACAAGTGGAATTCGAAACATAATACTAGAGGTAATTGTATAATCGTATTTGATTTTAAAACTATGCGATCGGAAAGTCATTGTGCACCGTGTTCTGTATGTCTGTTGGGGTCTTGGAATCAAGCGTAGAGGCAGTATCCTTCAGATACTAGCGTGTCGGTATTGTATTTCGTCTATAGCAGAGTCTTTTATTTCAAAAATAGAATTTCTATCCTTAAATCTCTATCATTTCGTAATCTACAACTTTTGATATATCCCATTATATATTGGTTTTCTTTCTTTGTTGCTAGTTAGTAAATGTTAGTAATGTAAAAGGTATTGAATAGGTGTTCTTGTGTTGCAGTTTACTGCGATTGCCTTTGAAACACACTAGTACTTAGTAGTAAATAATAATCGTTAATTGTGTGTAGAAACTGTGAGTGTTGTTTGCTTTGTCTGTCTAAGCTGATCCGTCGAGCTTGACTCGCTTTGCAACCTTATGAGCAGAGCTTTCCTTCTGTTTCGCCGCCTGGATATTCGTGTATATTATTTACAATTAATAAACAGACACTGGAGGCCTCGTCCTCCTCCTTTTACTTGTTGCTCTATCGTTTCCTGCATTCGTTACGTTGTATCGTCAGTGTTCAGAGGTTTGCGCACTTGTGGAATTAAACATATAGTTGAGGCTCGTTCTTGATATGATCCATATATATAGACGTTTTTGGTGTTCTTGCTCTCGATGTCAGTCGCTGGCATTATCTCTTGGCCTCCTTCTCCTGCAGATACATGCGCTGGCTCAGCGGCTTGGCGTATATCCAGTTGTCGCCCACAGGTTTAAAGTGCTGCCGAAAAATTAGATCAGTTGACTGAGTTACACTATATCCAAGTGGTTTACCTTGTGCTCCCAGGCCAGGTCGTAATCCTTGCGCACCTTTGCCTGTTCACGCTGCTGCTGCTCCACCACGTATTTGGCTGTGGTGGCGCGTTCGATGTCGTTGAACCTGCGGAAGAGCAACGAACAAAGGGATCAGATTACTCCGATTCGCATTCGGGGGTCAGAGATTAATTGGCAGATTGGTGAGCTGTTTACTTGAGTCCCGCTGTCACTTCCTTCCAAACGCGTCGCGATTCGTACTCATCCTGCTCAACGATTGGTCGAACTTGTTTCTTAAATATGGGTATGCGATTTACGTCGACGAATACTTCGGTTTTCTAGAAAATTCAAGAGATTCATTCAGGTTCACTAGGCGGTCAAACTGATTGGGTCTAATGCTGAACACACAACAATCATACATATAAGTACGGATAGCAACAATTTTAAATACAACTTTGGATATTCAGGCAGAGGAGTAGTTGGTGGGTTCGATTTTCTAGACAAACAAAGTAAACACACAGAGGAAATGCTCCCGAGCTATTTAAGAGAAAAGCAGAAGAATCGTGGAAAGAAAGTAGAGGTTGAGGTGGGGTGTGTAGGGTGGATGTGGCTGCCAACTCGTGGGGTTGTTTGTTGCAGCGTTTAGGCGCGGTATGCGGAGGGAAAAGTACACGAAAAGGTACAACATTTACGGTAACAATATATAATGGTTTACTATCTACATTAAGCTATCATAACTTGGGCGACTTACGTTTTTATCGTGCCACTTGGCCTCCATCAAACCACTCCACTCGCCGGCAATCGAGACAAAAGGCTTCTTTTCGCTTGGCGCGTAGACCTGCGGATGCTCAGAATTAATATAAAATAAAGGGTTACTTTAGGTGTTTTGTCACCTCGGCGGAGACTCTATTGCGCTTGCCGCCATAGAAGGGCTTCGTGAGGAACTCCACGTTGGCGTAGTAGCCCGACTGCGGGCACTTGATCTCCACCGAGCCGCCCAGCTCAATCCAAGGCACCGTTAAAATGGACCTACAATGGATGGGATTCTTCAGTTATGCAGAAACATAAGCCCATGCAGCCGCTCCTCACCTTCCGTAGCCGTTGGGGAAGGTCACTATGTACTCCTCGCTGCGATCCACCAGGGTGACTACCCCTTCGCCAATGTTGTGGACTCCAATCGAGAGCCCCAAGAACTTCGACTTGGTCCAGACATGGGCCGCAAATGTGATTTTCTTATTGTAATGCTCCGCATAGAAGGCAGAAACTGTAACAAATAAATGTTTCAATATCTTTCATCAAGGGGGCTTTTTTGTATTTATTACTTGGCGGATGGTGCGACACCTGTTCCGCTAAGAAGGTGAGCTGATCCCGCTTGCACCAAGGCACTGGGCCGTCGCGCACCTCCTGAGCATCCTGGGTCTCCCCTGGAATAAGCAACGATTCATGTAAGTGTGGTCAGAGATTAGGCTTACTGCACTGCATACCAGGAATGTCCCAATGGCACTGAAAGACTTCTCCCAAAATTGGATTGTAGGGCTTCTTGGCTACTGCACTTTTGCGTCCCGCATGGTAAGCACTCATGTACCAGCGACAGACCTGGACGATTCTATCGCGCGGATCATCCAAATCCGAGATTCTGTTATATAAGATGGTTAATAATTTGTATTCATTGGGATTGTTGCTAAAGACTTACTTTAAAAACAGGTCGGGATGGGCAAAGTAATCGGCGTACATCTCCAGCAGCGAGCGGCGCTCCAGGATGAACGTAGGCAGCACCACTTTTGTGAGGTCCATGCCGATCTTGACCTGCGACAGCAGGTGCGTAATCATCGAGCCGTGCGCCTCCATGCTGAGGTCCGTCTCTTCCTCCTCCTCGTACAGAGCGTCGTAGTCTATTCCATTGTCGTAGCTGGCACTTCGGGAACTTGCAGCGGTCCTGGATGTCTTAATGCTGGTGTCCGCATCGGCCACGCTCTCCTCGATCTCTGGCAGCGTTTGGGGGGCAACTGACTCGCCCAAAGGCATTGGCTCGGCGTTGGAGAAGCCATCCGGCCCCTTTTCGTGGGAGGGGGATGTGGTTTCCGAGAAGCCGCGGGTGGCGCTGGTGAAAGGGAAATGAGAGTGAAATCAGGACTTGTTGATTAGGATTCCTGGGGTGTCTGGGCATAACTAATGGGGCGACATTAATCCACAAGCGTGATGTCAGCGTGTGCGTGTGCGTCACTGGGGACCAGCAGCCTCCCGCATCCTCCTCCTCTTCAAGCTCTGTTGCTTGCTTCATTTACAATTTATGAGCGAAACACTTACGGCGACCTGGCGCACACTGTACAACCTCACCTCAGGCTCACGCGTCGGACCCACTTCTTGAACATGACGTGGGATGCTGATGCTGGCCGGATGCTTTACTGCACTCCCAGCAGCTGCATAATTTCGCTCGCGCACCGGAAGCTCTCGAATCGAAGCCTAGACAAAAGCCGCTGCCTTAGCTAGGCCATTAATGGAAAACAAGTAAACTGCTGAAAAAATCCACCCGGGAAGCGGATACGGAGGCGGGGGCCACCTACGTGCACCCAAAGGAGCGCTCTGACACTGCGAGCCGATGACGAACGAAACTACAACTGACAGACACACACAATGGCGACTGTAACTACGACTAGGACGAGCGACGTCGATGACGAAGCGAGGCGCCGACGACGAAGCCGTGTCAGCTGTGCCAGCAAAGCGCCGATGACTGCACGGTAAGGAGAATCAGAAGAAGGAGGAGGACCTCCTGTATTTATTATTTACACGCGACTTGGCCGAAATTACAGGCTGCCCCGAAACTGCGATTGCCACGAACTTCGGGCACTGCATTTTGCATGCGCTGCCCAGGCGCATGCGCCTGCCTCAAAGGAACAGAAGGAGGAGGAGGAGCAGGCCAGCAGCCGGGGGTTCCGGACTGGAGGGCAATGAATGCGTAATTTTAGCACGCAGCACACACAACACATTACACATTACCCAGCACGCTTGCCGGCTGCCGCATCGCATCTGATTGATGGCCAGTCGGCACACTTGGTCAAGTGGGCTGCCATGGCTGCTACTTGTAAGTCCTGCAAGTGGTCCACTCACCAGCCAATCGGGGAGCTGCCAAGGCTGGTGAAGGGATCGTCGTGGGCATCGTAGAAGTCATCCTCGCCCTCGCTGCTCGAGTAGGAGGTCTCCGGCACAACCAGACCCAGAGGAGCGGTGGTGGCTGCCAAGATGGATGCGAGATTAGCGGGGTGAATGGAAATAGACCTCTCGAATCGAATTCGATTAGCCGCTTGACCCTGGCTTGATTACCAGTTGCTTGGCCAAGAGCACTCACACTCACCGTTCTCAGTGGCCGAATCGTCCTCGTCGTCGCACAGGTCGCCCTTCCCGCCCCCTTGGCCCTCCAGGGGCACCTTCAGGCCACCTGCCTGGATGTTGTTGCTGCTGCCCGTGGTGGCAGCTCCACTGGCCGAGGAACTGGTCGAGGCAGTGGCCGGAGGGCCATTGTAGATTCCGTTGATGGGGTGGGCCATGTTTTTGGCAATCTGCAGGCTGACAATCGAGTGCTTAATGTGATCCAGCATGGCCTGAAACAAAAATGTGGAATTAGCCAAGCGGGAGTGAAAAATATCGATATGGCCTCGCCAAAGTTTAAGGGGAAGTGAGCAGCTGCCGTTGGTGACCAGCTGCCGGTCGAGTGGCATTCTCTCAGGCCTTTGCATCTGGTGGCCTGCTAACCCTGAACTTGCATTGGAAATCAATACCAGTGGGTGGCCCAGTGTGCCTGGCAATACGATTCGCCCGGCAAACTCCGTTGGGAGAACAAAAACACACATTCCAGCAATCCGAATATCCAAATTCCTAGCTTTGCCAGCGATTCGATTCGTTAAATAATTAAAGCCTCCAATCCGCAATGGATTTTCTCGATCCTGAGCTTCACAGCATCGACGACGTGTGTGCCCAGTTCGAAGCGTACAAAAAGCAACGCAAGGAAGAACAAGCGGAGCTGAAGAACAAGCTGAAGACCAAGTTCAACGTGGATGCCGATCTTAAGGAGCTCAACTCCAACATGGAAACCCTGCGGGTGGGGATGCAGAAGCTCGAGCAGCGGCAGCAGTGTCAGCTGCGTCAAAGGAAACTCCTCTCTCAGTCGAGTTTCGAGGCCATTGAGCCAGCTCCAGCGGGTGAAGTTGATTCCTCCGTAAAGGACGAAGACAATGAGCCGGAAAAACTTTTGATTAAATGCGGAGTGAGCAAGTGCCTCTTCGAGAATTGCCAAAAGCACGTGGACAGCCAGCTGCTTATGGTGCACTACCTCTGCGAACACGACGACAAGTATGCCTCCTTTCAGCGCTTTCAGCCACTGGTGGAGGGTGAGCGTGTTGTGCTCTCCTTCCAGCCGCAGAGCTGTGAGTTTCGGGTGAACCAGGTGTTGGGACTCCTGGCTTACGGTGGCCAGCTGGAGCAGAAGTTTCTGATGTCACGGAGACCACGGGATCCGGAGCAGCATTTGCAGCTGGAACCCCACATGCCGGTGGTGGTGCTCATCTGCCGTACAGCGACACACGCTGCTCTGAAGGATAAGCTTCCGACACGAAGTGTGCGGTTATCGGATACTCTAAGGGATCAGGTGTATGTGATTTGGCTGGTGACACCTGGCGACCGGCTGCAGCTAAACGCCACGTTGTGTCTGTGCGGGAGAGATGCTGCTGTGCGGGCAGCGTACGTGGTGGGTGTTCGAAAGGTGAATCATAGCCAAGACACGAGCCGCTTCATGGCTGTTGACGCCAACTACTGGCGACTGACGTACGCCGAAGTGGATCGACTCTCAAATAACTTCCGCGACGAACTGCACCTAGAGGTTTCGCTCACGGAGTCCCCAGCTCCACTGGGTGGAATGTAACCGCTTCCTACTCACACTTGCGTTGTCCTGCAGTGCCTTGCACTTGGACTGCTCCGCCGGATCGGTCAGCTCCGCGATGCGTTTGTCCAGCAACTGAGCAGAACAGAGAGAAAGCGAAAGTGACAGTAAATTGCATAATGCCTGCATTACGTGGCACAATACTAACGTTCGTCTGCTCAATCATCAGCTGGAGGTAGGCATCCGCCTCGGAAACGCGGCGCGCCACCAGCTCCAGGTGGTTGGGTCGTCTGCCGCCCACTCCGCCTACTCCGGTTCCGCCCCCTTCCCTCGTGTAGCCACCGGCGTTGTAGTAGGCGCTCTGGCTGTCCCACAGACGCGAACGGTTCGCGTGGCGTCGAATGGTGTCCTCCAGTCGGCGCACCCACTGCTCCCGCTCCTCGGTGTGCCGCGCCTGCAAACGTTTAGAAAGTTGGCAAGTTTAGTTGGCTCCTTTGCTGGTGTGTGGGTATTGGGAAAAGTTTTATCGTTACATCAAGGCAACAAAGTCAAACAAAAGGAAGAACGTGAGGGCCAGACAGAGGTTTCTAGGTCGCTGCCCGGATACCCTTTCTTCCCGCCTATTGTGCACATATCATAAAAAAAATCGAAGCTCTGCTTTTCTAGGGGTCAAGCTAGCATAGACTTTCTAGTACTTTACTGCGACACTGCGAATTGGATAGACGCACGTGGCTGCATTTGCTATCAAATCGTTGCTCAACGTATTGATAAAGAAGTGGGAAATCATGACTTCTAATTTGCAATTCAGCATTGTTTCGTTATTCAGTTCAAGCTATCAATACTAAAATCGAAATATTCAAAAGTTCTGTGCAATTCTCGTGAGGTATTAATAATTTGGATTAAACTCGGGAACCCTGCTATTTAATATTGGACTCAGAATATTAATGGTAGTCATAAGATATTATTTTGGGATGCATTTTTATTTTTATTTGGTGAGAACGACTTGCCTGAAAGTGGAAGGTCTTGTGGTCCACGGTGATTGTGAACGTGTTATCCTCCTGGTCGTCGATCCCGATCAGTGCTTCTTTCAAGCGCACGCATCCCCGCCTTACGCCCTTCATCATCTTCTCCTTCGACTGAAAAAGATATGCAGTTGGAATTAGCCGAGCTCATTAAACCACAATTCCGGCTGTCAAAGGGTTATTACGCCTGCTAAAAATTAACGAATTCTAATCAATGCTATTAAGTGAATAAAAGCAGTGGTCAGCGCATTGTGCGCGCTTAAATGTGCGCCAGCATTTCAAGACGATAGAGCAGCAGTCGGCAGACCCTCGCGAGCCCTAGGATCCAGGCCAGAGGAATAGCAACCCAAAAAAACATGGAGGCGTCAATGAGTAAGCTTCTACGGAGAACTGAACGAGATTGTCCCACGTGTCTAATCATATTGCAGGTCCTGATCTGCCGCCAGTGGTGAAGATTCCTACGTTGTACTCGGATCCGTGGTACATGATAACCTTGCTGGCCATCTATCTGTACTTCGTCATCAAAGCGGGTCCGCAGTAAGTCCACATGCTAATATCAAATTCGCTCGTTTTGCATGCGGGTCTCTGGACTCGGCATTAGCAATTCAACGGGTCCGCTGGTTTAGTTGTGTAAGAGAGAAGACCTTTAAACTCTCGCGCCCTTACAGTTTCATGGAATGGCGAAAGCCCTACGGGCTCAAGCGAGTGATCTTGGCGCATAATCTGATCCAGGTGGTGTGTTGCTTGTACGTCATCAAGGAGGTGGGTAACTTTGGCTTGCAGTGGCAACGGCGCGATATAAGCTCTAGTTCCGTAGGTCCTCCATATCACGGACAACACCATCTATTTCTTCTGGATGTGCCGGAATATCAGTCCCGAGCACGTGCAACGCTACTACAGCCTGGCCTACTTCCTCTTTTGGCTAAAGCTGTCAGAGCTGCTGGAGACTGTGATCTTCGTGCTGCGCAAGAAACAGAACCAGGTGTCGAAGCTGCACATCTTCCACCACATATCCACGCTGACGCTGGTGTACATGCTGATCAACTTCAACGAGAATGGTGAGCTACCCTGTTTCTTTGTCCTATTTCGGCCTCAACTGTCCACTTGTCCACAGGCGACTCTGCTTACTTCTGCGTGTTCCTTAACTCGATCGTCCACGTCATTATGTACTCATATTACTTCGTGGCGGCCGTGGCCGACAAGAGCGTGCTGGTGGCCCTGACGCCCGTTAAGAAGAGCATCACGGTCATCCAGATGACGCAGTTCAGCCTCATCCTGGCGCAGGTTCTATGCCAGGCGGTATTGTGCGGCTTACCGCTCATCGTACTCGTGTACTTTACTACAGTCATCGCGGGCATGTTCTACGGCTTCTACAACTTCTACAACAGTGCCTACCAGGTCGCAAAGCGCCGCAAGAGCCTGTCAGCAGAATCGGGGAAGTAAGCCCATGTCCACAAATCACGCAATAAAAGAGCACCAACAAGTGTGCGTGTATCCGAATGTATCTACCGCAGATAAGATAAGGCCACGGGCCCTGGGAAATCGGTTCTGGGTGCGATATGGGGGGTTAGTCAGGGAGTCAACTGCAGCTACTCACCGTGTAGTAGGACAGCAGTCCGGCGTTCTCGTCCAGAACGAAAAAGCGATACTGCCAGCCCTTCATCACGTTGGTCCACTTGCTCAGTGTGCCCTCCAGTGTGCCACCATTTCCACTAGGTCCACTTGTTCCACCAGCCCCGCTGCCGGCTCCCAGGCTGGGAGCACTCCCAGTGGTGCTGGCCATGTCGTCCAGGTCCCGTGACTCGGCCACCGCCTCCTCCTCCTCTTCTGGTCCGTCGTCGTCCTCCTTCTTGTCCTCGTCGCCGGGAGCGTTGGCTTGCGCCTGCTATTTTCCCCGAGCTCTTTTCTGGCCAGGAGCGGATGATGACGCAATGCTGCTCCGCGACTCGCACCCGCAATCTGTCACAGCCTCAGCTCCGCTTGGAATTTGCAAAACAAAGCAAAGCCCTTCCGAATTAGAGCTGTCAAAACATCGCTGGCACTATCGGCAGTATCGATGGTTGCGCTACGGCGGGCACTATCGATTGTTGGTGAGCTATCACAATAATACAAAATAATATAGTTTTGTGTAATACTTATTACCCTAATTAAATTAGTTATCACTTTTGTTGTGTATGAAAACTAGTGGCTATTGGGATTGTTGTAATGTTTTTACTAAACTGATGTATGCCAATAATGTGAAAGAAATACTTAAAATTCTCATGATCTTTTTGCTGGAATTCCCCTTTTCTGTATACGATAGTATCGAAGTTTAATTTGATAAGCTATCGATTTTTTGACAGTTCTATTTTAAAATGCAGCTGTAGTGTGAACACGCAGTGGAGCGCCAAAATTTACAAAGTTTCAATCGTTAATAAATATATTTGCATAATAGTTTTATATTATATTATTTCATTTATTTCACTTATTTCATTTCTCAGCAAACGCCGTCATCATTTTAAAATAGAGAAGGCATATTAGGAAGGAGTATCGGCTGATGCGGTTCCATTTTGGTTTCCAAGGGAGCAATTGGCGACTGCGACTTCAAATGCAGATTCGAGGAGTCCCTAATGAGAATTGGATTATATTGAATGGGTTTCGAAAGCTCCGGGCCGCTGGGTTCCAGCTTTTGCGTTTCCAAAGTGACCATGGAATAATCCAATTGATCCACGATTGATGCCTGCTCCCGTTTTATTTGCATTTCCAAGGAAGCGAAAGGCGAATCCGAATCCCGCTCCAAGGATTCCCAAAGAACGAATGGCTTTCCATGAGGAGATAGATATTCCGGCCTTTGCAGAGGAGAATCAGGCGACAAAGGAGGCCGTAAAAGACGCTTCGAGCGCCTGGGTGAAGCCAAAGTCTTTTGGGGTGTCCTTTCCTTGCGACGCCATCGCTTCAACCTAGCATTATTGTCCTTTTTCGTTTCACATCGGACTATATGAGTGTAGATGGCCACGTCCTTATCCGAATACGGAACTACCTTTTTTTCGTTCACCGCCCTTTCAATCTGATCGTTGATGAAGCTCTCGGATCGGTTGACCAGGCACTTCTTTTTATCCAAGTACTTTTTTGCATCCCAAACACAATTTTGGGCTGTCATATCTACCTTGACTTTGGTCCTCTGGCATAGCATCCTAACTTCTTTCGCGCTGTAGATCCGGCTCAGATCCTTAGGTGTGACTTTCTAGGATTAGAAGGATAACATTTGTTAAGATCGGTTTTTAATTGTTGTTTGATCCGAACATTATCTACACTTGATCTTCAAAGGGGTTTAAAATACGAAAACTTGGAACTTTGTACATTTACATAGTTCTTGGAAGATGATTTTCATAACTGAATTTGAGCTTACTTACAATTTTCTCATACATATTTAGGGCCCTCTTAAAATGTTTCTGGCCAGAAAAACATTGTTTAACCATCCGCTCCTCGGACTTTAAGTAACTTACAAAGCCAGCTGTCAATATTCTCGCCATCCTGAGGAAACCAAATACAGTTATCAGTGCACCGGCTTCTAAAGCATGCGTTCTTATGAGCCCTATAATGTGACCGCAGATCGACATGGATAAAATAAACTATTTTGTTTACAAAATATACCATTAATACTTATATTTATGCTTATATTTCCGCTTTTTGAATTTCAGATTTGATTATAACGGTTAAGCATATTTATGCAGTAGAATTTTGTCATCACAAACTGTAGAAGGATTTGATAATCAAATCCTTTTTATATTTTTGCTCTTCATAATGTTTAACTCAAAAAGTTAAAGCGCTAAAAAAAGGCGAGATTAGATAATATGTATAAGGGCCAAATGAGTGTATTGATATTAATATAATATCCCCCTAGACCCATTCAAATTCGGTTCCGTACATAAACCAATGTTTTATTCGCTGTCTTTCAAAACAAGTGAATTAAGTTTCTAATCAACAGCACCGCCTAAAACTAGAAGACTTAGTTCCTAAAGAAAACATAACAACTACGGCTTGGGGCAGGGCTCATCTTTTGGTCTCCAGCACTTAACTAAGCGTCGCATCCGGACGGAGTCTAGCCGGCGAAGAAGCACCTGTAGAGCATGTAGAGGATGCCGAATATCCAGATGCCCTTGTAGACCTTGTCCACCACCCACATCCTGGTGAAGAGAGATCGTGATCAGTGGGGGACATAAATGAAAATGGTATTTCCGCAGTACTTACACCTTCATGTGTCTCCTGGCCGCCGGAATGGACTCGTCAGACTCCTTGAGGATCAGGCGACGGGCGCAGAGTACGCAGTTGGTGAAGTAGTCGATCAGGTCCAGTTCGATCTTCTCGATCACATAGGTACGCCGCTCCTTGTTGTTCATCAGCTTGCGCAGCTTCACCGCCTCCGAGTTGTCAAAGTTCCAAACGTTATTGGCATAGTACTCGAACACCTCGAATCCCTTGAAGATGCGGTTCTGGACGCGGCACAGTACCGGCGGATATCGGAGTAGCCAGAGCAGGGCGTCCACGAAGAGGGCCGGCATCCACTGGAATAGCACCATGCAGACGTAGTGCACCCAGTAGTTGGACTTCATGGAGCCACCCGGATACCAGGCCACGCCGTTCAGCGGCACCTTGTTCTCGATCACCCAGCGACCCAGCTCGATGATCTCCGCCCAGGACACCTTGATGTCGTTGGAGGAGGTCATGTGCGCCACCCGATTGGTGGTGTCCGTGCCCGCGGTGATGTTCCTCCAGCTGGCCACTAAAATGCCATTAACAGCCACGTCCACGGGCAGGAAATCGCCGTATCCCGAGGAATTGCAGTACATTGTGCGAATGACACCCTTTCCCGCTCCGATAAGCAGACCAGTGGGTCCATTGATGTTGTCCGTCCAGCCGGGAATGGGCTCCTTCCAGATGGGGATCACGATCGAGGGCCGCAGGATCACGGCGGGCAGCTGGTCAAACTTCTCCACCACCAGCGCCTCGGCCAGCGACTTGGTGTAGGCGTAGGTGTTTGGGATGTCACCCAGCACCTTGCGCTCGATGGTGGCCACCTCCTCGTCCGTCAGCCACTCGCAGGCCTGCATCACCTTGTGAGGATCTGCCGGTGGGTCGTAGGGCTTCTCGTACAGCGTCTTCACGTGCAGATGGCAGTAGGCGGTCGAGCAGTAGGCGAAGAAGTCCAGGTGCTTCAGAGTCTGGGCCAGTTCCAACATGTACTTGGTGCCTCGGGTGTTCATGAACACGGCATTGCGAAGAGGTTCATCAAAGCTGAAGAAGGAATGGGTTGTTTCCGGTCAGAAAGGAGTTGGGGTAATGGAATGAAGGAATGGAAGGTTACACTTCACAGCTAACTATTGACAAATAGTGGTGCAATAACAAATTAACTATTAATAAATAAAGTACGTATATTATTAATTACAAATAATGATTGATGAATAATTTATAAATCAAGTTATCGAAAAGATTGTTGCCAGTAGATCTTTATCGTAAGTTAGCAGCTAGTAAGGGAACAGATTATTTCCGGAATTTGGGGGAAGGTTTGGGAAATCAAATTCCGAAAGAATTTCTTTAAAGTAAAAACTGGTAGGCAGAGATTTATTATCTTTTTGAGAAAAAGAGTGATTTATTGTACCCTTTGAGGACAAGAGTAAAAATAGTTCATTTGACGGGCATAATAAATGGAAATCACAGTCCTACATATAATAGAAGTCCATGTACTAATTAAGATATATGTATCCTAACCAAAAACCCAATTTAATGCCACGGTAAAATGTCACTCACCGCACTGTGGCTGCACAATGGTAAACAATGGACACCTCCTGGCGCAGTATTTCCAGGTCCTGTTCGGAGATTCCCAGGCCGGGCAAAAGGACGTCCCCGGCGATGGCCACCACCTGTTGCAGGATGTGCTCCTCGCCGCGGAGCTGCTTCACCTGGTCAAACAGCTGTATAAACGCCACACACACGTTAGTTGATTAATTTCGTAAGCCAGGCAATGAATTCTCATAGTTTTCATAATTCCCACCCTGCTTACCACATTCTGGAATATATCCTTGATGCGCTCCTGTGGATCCTTGCCCTTCTTGGGGCGGATGAGCAGATAAATGCGCTTGAGGCCACCACACGACCTGCAGGAATTAATAATATTGCATAAGCCATGGCGGAAATTGGGATTAATGGGGCCACGTACGGACCAGCTGCCCCGCCCACTTGCCGCCCACTTACCGCAGCAGCTTCTCGACCAGGACCTTGCCCAGGAACCCAGTGCCTCCGGTGATGAACAGACTGCGTCCCTTGAAGCACTCCGCAATGCGGTCCACCTCGTTGTCGTCCACCTCGCCTATGGTGGCCAAATCATCCTTCTCATACACGAACTTCGGTTTGGCGGTCATCTCGGATGGCTTCTGTGCACATGATTATAGGCTTATTTAATGACTTGTTTGGGGAAAGTATTTTATTACCAATTATGAATCGCTAAAAATAAGGTCTTTAAAAGATCCTCAATAATCTCTAGACATTTAAGGTTCGACTATCTCAGGAAAAGTCTGTTTGTCTTCAGGTTTTTAATAACTAAGTAGGTTTTCCTGTAATAATACATACATGACTTTTTATTGGATGTGACTTTTATGAACTCTAAAGCTTAATTATCATACTACCACTTTTATAGCCATTCTGAGAATTTTTTCTAGATGTATTTAATACATGTCATAAAAAAAAGTAAGTTATTATTTATAATAATGGCAATTAATTCGATTTCAGAAGAAGCAGAACTATATTCTACAAGTGACAAAAAACAAAATCATGTCTTACAGTAAAGTCTATTAAATTTATGCGTGCCGAGGTTAACTTCCTTCACCGTTAATATTCGAAATTTGCATATTTCGGAACCAATTTGCTATTTGATAACTATTATTTTCAATCAGTGAAATATGATCTTTAAAAACGTGGACGTTGAAAAAGTTGACATTGTTGGGTTTTTCTTGAGACACTTATGGTGCTGTAAGCACGTAATAGCCGTTGCCGCCAAGTGCACTTTTAAT